TGAATTTGGTGAAGCAACTTTTGGATGAATAAGATTTATTGATTGATTGCTTGATGATTACATGAGGCTAGTAAGCCTTTTTATACATGTAAGGAAGAAAAGAAAGAACAATAAACAAGAAGATCAACCATCTTAGAAGCATGGGCTGGAGCAGACTAGTATGAGTTGTCTGGCCATCTTGTATGGAGATTAATTGGAGGTGTGGAAGTCTGAGCAACATGGGCTGCCTGATGGAGTGGTATGGGTGATATGTGACAATCAACTATGGTGAGGTGGATCTGATGATTTCTTGCAAAAGCAGCAACAAATAACCACATTAGCAATCCTTGGCAAATACTATCAACTGTACCTAAAATCCAACCACTAACAGTAGCTGAAACACATTAAGAGAAAAGATTTCCCCTGCCTTTGTCACAATTTTATTTGCTTGACCTTCCTCTAGTCTCTACTAATAAGAGAAAAAATAAAAATAAAAACTTACGGAGGGTGTTTCTTGAGTAAGAATGTGTGCTGCCAAAGTTCTGTGTTGCCCCTCGGTGTGATTAATCCCCTCCCCAGAATACCATGTCTCAGTCACACCATCTTCACCCAGTGCACTTGATTCTGGAGCAGCTGATCCATTTCCTCGCTCAAATCGGTGGAAAGACTTGTTGTGACCCTCCATGCCACACTGCCTACAATGAATGACTGGCCCACTTTTACCCACTCTAAGATTGGTTTGCTTGAAAAAAAAAATTTGCTGCTCTTTATCTCGCAGCACCTCATCTCTGCTCTTTCTCCTACATAACTTACGTCTTCCCCTTCTTGACCTTTGCTAATTACTAACATAAGATGGTATTACAGGGAATCTATTGGAATCTGCCCATGGTTCTGCTCCAACCATAGATGCAAGTGTGAAACTATAAGTGCTAACATAGGTGGTCACGTCATATCACTTATCCACATACGATTCAACCTTTCAACGCTTGGTAGAATGCTGCATATTGCCTGATGACATGGAATTCCCGTCAAATTCCACTTTCTACATGTGCAAGTATGCTGGTTCAAATGAACAACAACTTGTCCCTTGGGACATCGAACCTGAAAAGTGTTAGGTCCATTTGGTAGGGCTCTACGACTAAAACTTTCCTGCTTAGCAGCCTGCAATTTCTTCAATATTTTTGGACAAAACTGGCCTTTGAAGTTGCTGGTTGCAAATTCTTTCTTCTTCAAATCTTACCATTAGTAGGCATCGTATGGTCTCAAACATACTAGGGATTGGCTTAACTCTAGCTCCTGACAATACCCTGTTCCGAGACTCACTGATTGTTAAGCAAAACATCAGTATTGCAATAAGTACGAAAGTGAGGTGGGCGATTTCTGGTGGGAGATTGGAATGTGGAATAGTTAGTAAATACTCCGTTTAATACACGTATTTGTACCCGTACATATTTTATCCGTTTAAAACTTACGTATCCTTATTATTGTCAAGTCGTTCATTTTCACAAGTTCATTTGATGGCTCCCGTCCTAAACACGTGTAAAATCTGTATAACACGTTTAATATCCGTATTTAATGAATTAAATTGTTAACTATCATTTATGTATATATACTTATTTTTAAAATAATTAAGTTTATATATTTATGATTATTAACATACTATTAAACATAACATTAGCTTAGAGGCGAAGTAAAATAATCTACGTATTTTATAGTAACTTTCTCGTACCGTATTTTACTAACTATACCAAGAGAGGATGCGAGGAAGAGGGAATTGATTGTAAGGACACTCTGCACTGTGCAGCGGTTTTTGTAGAGGTTGACGTGGCAAATGCTATATTTTGACATTGACTTATAGTATTTTGTAGATTTAATCTATTCCTCATGTAATATGAGAATCTTCATTAAAAAAGAATACTATAAGAATCAATGAAGATTTAGTATATGTTATTTTTAAGAGAAGGTTATTTTATATATATGAAATTGCCATATTTCTCATGTATATATCATATGAATAACTAGATCTTTGTCGTTTGATTTTTGGTAGATTGTTTTAATCGTTTTGTATTTTCCTTTTTTAACAAGAGTTTTAAAGTTGGAATGAAACAGAGTCATTGTGATTTACAAGATGATATTGTTTCGTTGGATTGGTAAAGATGATGAAATCTACTACAGAAGAGTGAATCCCAACAATAAGTAATCAGAAGAATTGATATTGTTCCGCTGGCAATAAAAAATGCGAAGAAGTTCAAAGTTAAATTTCGATGACCAACAACACACAATTATAACTTTTTATAAAACTCTCATTTTAGAGGTCATAGGTTCGAGTCTCTTAAAACAACTCATGACGAACCCTGTTGTTATCCAATTAATCCTTAAATCAGTCGTTGATATGGAACAATTTATAGGATATAAATAATTTATTGGATTATTTCCATAAATTGGTGGATGAGACGCGATTTGATCGAAGAACATAGTGAAAGTTTATTACATGTAAATAGAATAGTTATTCTACCTATTCAAACAACACAACTATATAGTTGTATGTCATTGATCTTCTCGTCTTGCACTAACTTTTTAAACTAATTCGTATTTTCTATTGCCAACGGAACTGTAGTTGTTCTTCCCATTGTCGATTATCAGGATTGACCTTCGAATAGACTCCATCGTCTTTACCAATCCAGTAAGTATGGTATACAAATTCATTCTTAGTTTGCTCTCTGTTGTTTTTGTAAGCTACAAAAGAAGCCGTTCTAATGTTGTGGGATGGCTGCAAATGACACCAAAACAGAGTGTGCTTGAAAACTTCGTTACGAAAGTGCCATTGGAATTCGTTGTTTACTGCAATGTAATGAATACCGAGATCGTCGTCCTTTGATTTGCAGTTCACTAGTAACTGGGCTGAGGGGTCACTCAGGTGGTTTTGTATGCAGACATAATGAACTTCCCACCAGAATTTGGATGAGTTAAGGGGAAGCAAGACTAAGAAAGTGATTAGAAATATGGAGATGGATCGACTGAAAGTAGTATCCAGTACTCACCAGTGCAATACGTAGTACTATTAATTCTACCTTTTTTCTTTATCTTTGAATTTGTCTCTTTAGTATTTTCTGTCTTTATATATGCTCTAACATTGTTGCAATATCTTCTTCCACATTAACTACTATTTTATATCTCCATCAATTACTTACCACATATAACACCTTAGTTAAGATGAAAGTATATTAATTCTATTTGTACCTGCCAAATGCTCATAAGTTTTACGTTGGAGCTAACGGTAATAAATACAACTCATTATGGTTTTTTTCCATAGAACTAAAAATGTGTTGTTTCCTAGAATGAGTTTCGTTCCGACTTCATGTGATCATAGATCTGGCCATTAGGTTGGGTTGAGTATCTCGGGTTACGGGATCGTAGTGGGTTGGGTCATATCAGATTGGTTGATTTTGGGTCAAGTACTGACCCAACCAAAATATCAGGGTCTGATTTCAGGTCATTCCGGTTACGAGTGTTAAAAAAAACATGGTTCAAAATTCATATGTTTTCCTTGAACACAAATTTTCATATGTGTATGTTAATAGTTTAACTACACATGTCAATTTATATATTTTCCAAATCCTCAAATATTATTGAAAGAAAAAATAAATTACACAAAACGCCAAATAACACATCATGAGACTAATAATATTGCAAACAACACATGATACGATCAAATCCATGCAAAAATTTGTAAACATCACACCAATTTATGATTAATTTTGTGAATTTGAGGTGAATAACCCAACCGAAAAGAAGCAGGTATTCAATTCAGGTCATTTAGATTATAAAAACGTCAAACCAATTCTGATTTATCAAACGTGTTGGCGTAGGATCAGTGGATGGAGCCATAATTTCGAGTCTGTGTGATCCTCTATTCATGTGGGCTAGACTGAGCTGTTGCTACTGTGTATTGGGCTGGACTTGGGCCCATCTCGTAAACTATAACTTAAACGCAAAATTGGATCGTAGCAAAATGAATCAAGTCAACTGGAATTAACCTGCGGGCCCCCATTGCAATTCTATCGTACATCCCTTGGTCAGCGGCCACGAAGGAAGGAATAGTGGCTGCGGTGCCATGATCATATTCGGGCCTGTAAGCTTAGAATGGCAATTAGGATTCATATCCATAAATCCAATCCTATACAATCCATTTGATCCAAATCCAATTGGAAATGACAACTTACAATTTAGAACCCATACTTTTTATATTTTATACTTTGATCTCTAAATTTTTTCTTATACAAAAATATTGGAAATTACGTTTTGGTACTTAAAATTTTTCATTATGACATTTTAGTACCTGAACTTTTTACATTTTACATATTGGTCCAATATTAAGGGTGTCATTTGGATTCATGGATAATCCACTAATCCACTGGATCCAATTCATGAATTCACCAATCTATTTGATCCACCATGAATCCAATACACCAATCCATAAATCCAATTCATTTGCCACCTCTATATAACCTCTCATCGGAATAAAACTTATGCATTCTCTCTTACAGACAGGCGACCCTCTCTGAAATTCCCCAAAACACCAATTCTCAATTTCTTACGACGTACGGTTGGGGAAAACGATCGAAGCTCAAGAGAAATGGACTAACAACCGATCGAGAAGGAAGAGCGGGCTCAACCTCCCATCCCAACCGTGGGATGAGCGACACGTCCCTCAGGCTTGACAACTATCTCCTGGACTGCTTTAAAGCACTCACCTTCACCTTCACATTCGGCTTGACAACCATCTTGTCCAACCATGGCGATTGATCTTTAGCTCTTTTCAGATAATGATGATTCAACCATCCGCAACATTATGAAGAAAAATCAGGTCTATCACCCCAGAAACCATAATTAGAACATGCACCACGACATCAATTTTTACAATAAGCCTATGTTATGAAAGACATTCAACTGATATCTAGCTAAGGACTATGTCGCATCTAGTGTAGCCACATTATGATCTTCACTACAACATTACATATCTATGGCTCATCAGTTGCTTCTTCCTGCTTAACTTCAAATTGGCATCGGTACTCGTATTTTTTAGCAGAGTATAGGAAACACACAAAGTTGATGATCAATATCCCAGCAATGAAGAAGAAGTAGGAGTCTAGCTTGCCTTGGTTTTGATCATCAGGAAGCCAGTACCCGACTATGTGAACCAATGAAACCAAAATCCCAGCCAAGGAATATCCCATCCCTCGAGCAAGGAAGAGCGGCACCCACCAAGCAACACCTCTCATTCTCTCTGGAAACTCCTGTTGGCTGAAGATCACCAGTCCAACTAGTGCCATCTTGTCGGCAACTCCAGCCACCGTGATATGAGGAACCAACCACAGGCTTGCCATGGATGAGACCATCCTCCTCCTCTCTTCAACCAATCCAGCCATGACCAATGATACAACCCCAAGGAACAACCCAGTCCCAACCCTTTGAAGCACCGTGATCCCTCCTTCTCTTCCACTGATCCTCTGAGCTATCGGGATGAGGAATTTGGCGTAGATCGGGATCCACATCGCCGCAACAAGCTTGAAGAAGACATCATGGAACGACGCAGGGATTTTGAAGTTTGTCTCGAACAGTCTGGTGTTGGACTGTAGAGCCTGGACAGCTACGTAGCTTCGGAGCTGGGACACGGCAAGTTGGAAGGGTACGAAGGTTGCCCATACGGGGAGCAACCTCTTGGATGTAACCTTGGCAAGATTTTCACTTCCTCCACTTGTTGGATGCTACAAAGGCTCCATGGCTCTTTGGGTGATCCATAGTGGTTGAGTTGGTCGTGTGGTGTAAAATACATAAATAAACAAAAATCAAGGTCATCTAGATGAAAAGCACGACATTCCTCTACCTAGAGACCACTAATAATGTCTCGGATAAGGTAAGAGCTGAAGAGAGCGGTTGACTAGCTAAGTAGCTTATATGATATGTACTTATTCAAAATACATATAAGCCACATTAACAAACCCTTATTATTATTATTATTATTATTATTATTATTATTATTATTATCAAACATGACAGGATCTTCAAAATATGTTATACATAACAAGAAAATGTTATATAACATCTACATAGGTAAAATATATTTGGGTTAAAGATGAAGACAGATTGGACAATATCGTTGTCAAGTTTCTTCAACACCTCAATTCGTGAAAACCATTATTTTAGTTAGATCAAAGCTAATGAGTTTCTCCTAAATTCAATAAATCAATACTTAGAATTTCGAAAATCCAACATAGTTTCTCATTTCTCAATACTCCTGGAAATCCAACTTACTTTTGGACTGGCCCTGAGACAAAATAAAAAAACTACAGTAACCAATAAAATACAACAAGGCAGTCATAAAAAAAAGGCAAAATACACTTTCATAGCCATAATTATTCACGTTGTGACAATAATAGCCACTTTTTGAAAAATACATAGATATAGCCACTTTTTTCAAACTTGCTTAACAACTATAGCCATTTCCGTTACAAACTTTAACGCCGTTACTAACGCCGTCAGTAACCTCTGTGTGTCGCTGAGGTGGATGCCACATGGACAATATGTAATTGCCAACTGGACGCCTTCACACCACCTAGACGCCATGTCATATTAAAAGTACTTTTTAACAAAAAAAAAACAATTAATTTATTAAAAAACAAATAAAAAATTAAGAAAGAAAGAAAATATTTTAGTTTTATTTTCTATTTCTCGGCAGCGCCGCAGCTCCAAGCATCCCTGAACAAGATGGATCATCGCAAAACCCAGTAATCCCAAACTAACGAACCCGAAAGTACTCTACCATTCCTTCGCCCAGACGATGGAGGCTTTGCGATTGGAAGGGATATGGATTCAGAAGTTCGACGGTCGACGGGGACTGGAATTTGCATTTGAAAGATGAGAAACAGAGTGGACTTGTTCTTCCACCTCACGTAGCCGGTGCAGATGAGTAACCCATTATAGATCTGCCTTCCGGCCGCCACTTGGAATCGTCGTCGAGCTTCTGTCAGATACAGATTCAAAACCGTCGGCGCCTCCTTCCCGTCCTTCGTTGCTTGGCATCATCGTCGTTCGGCGGCTAGCGCTACGTCAGATCCAGACAGTAAATTCCCAAAAAAAAAAAACACATGAGCCTCTAACGAGAGATGAAAATTACGATTCAGGGGAGCAAATCCGTCCATGGAGCTCATCCTCACTCGGTTCCTAGACCACATGGCCAGTGCGGAGGCGGTGGGGAAGCAGTCGTCGGGATGGAAGAGGAGAATTAGGTTATCAGCGGTGATGGCGGAGAGAGGACGAGGACGGAAGTGGATTTTCCGGCGCGGAGTAATCGTTGGAGCCGGAGGAGCTGAAAGAGTCAGAAGCGGATTATTAACTATTGGGGAAGACAATAGATTTGGATTGAAACGAGGATTGATGAGAGGAAATCTCGCACTAATGCCTATGCTCATCTTCCGTTCTCTTCTCTTTCATTTCCTTTTTTTTCCATGTAATTACAGTAAAAACTAAAAAGTCAACATTTTTATCTGGCAATGGGTTTGAAGAAAAGCCGCCACATCACCATAAAACGTTTGTCTAGTCAGCATTTGTAAAGGTATCCTTAAAGTTTTGGACGAAATGGCTATATTAGTGTATTTTTCAAAAAATGGCTATTATTGTACAACGCAAATAATTATGGCTATAAAAGTGTATTTTGCCTAAAAAAAATAAAAAATACAACAAGGCAAGACAAAAACCAAACAAACAGAAAGCCCCCTTCCTTTTTGGCTCTGCCCTTTTTTCCTTTCTACTTTCGATATTTTAGCTTTATGAATGAAAAGTTCGCCTTTTGCTTTCCCCTCCATTACGTTAGTTCCAATATCCCAATTGCATATCCACAGGTACAAATTTGCATATTCCAGAATCCCTTTCCCGCACCCGCGCGCCGCACAAATTGAAATAAACAAACAAGGCCTTACGTTTATTTTTTTTAAATATCTTATCGTACGTTTATATATAATAAAAAATAAAATTTATGAGCACGAATGAATGATTATCCCGCTTTTCCCAAAATTAGTTATTTACAAATGTGTGTCGTTTTACACCCATCTCTCTCGTGACTCGGCCTTTTCTCTTTGCTCTCTCTCCGTCGGTTTCCAGCTTCTGCCCCTAACTCATTTCCTCGCGCCTCCCTCTCTGCGTATATTCGGAATCGGTAAGGGATTGCGGTTTACGAAACTGGGACTCTGAGTGTGGCAGTTCTTCAGCCGGAAAGGTTGAGGGCCGGATGGTGGCCAAAGGCGGCGGAATGAGCGGGCGGCGATGGAAGGAGGTGGCGGTGCTGGTGCCGACGGTGGTGGAGGAGGAGGAATGGAGATGAAGAAGATAAAGATTGGAGTCTGCGTGATGGAAAAGAAGGTGAAATGCGGATTCGAGGTTCTGTTTCCCTTTTCGTGCACTTATGAAATCTTTTCGTTTTCCCCTCTCCCAAGTATTTGATACAGAGGACGTAAAAACTGTGAAGCTCCAGTTTCAATCGTGTTCTCGGAACAGGGAAAACCAAGCGTCATTGATCGTTTTGCTAGCTTGTTTGTTTGGTTAGGGGCTGCAATTGAGGTAGTGGATTGCAGGTTTTCTTCTGACTCCTTCCTCCTTTTTCCATAGGTGTCTTCTGCTCCAATGAAACAGATTCTGGACAGGTTACAAGCGTTTGGCGAATTTGAGGTATGGATGATGTTCATTTCGTTTCGGTTTTTGCTTTTCCAATGGTGCTCTAGCCGTGCATTTGGCTTCTTTGTTGATTGTTATGAACTGAGCCAGAGAGTTAATTTGCAGTTTGTGTGTTGTTGATCGTTTACTGAATCAATTACTTTGTTCCTTACCCATGGGGATTCTTCTTTCCCTGTTTTGAGCTTTGTAGGTTATACATTTTGGAGATAAGGCTATTCTTGAAGATCCAATCGAGAGGTACCTTTCTGTTTCCAGATACGTTCTTGGCTTCCATAATTGTTAATTTGCTTAAGGGTGCTGTTCGACCAAGTATTGGATTCCTTTTGTGATCAGCATTGAATTGTCATTGACGCCACGTTACAGAGATGAGTGATCAGTGGTTTACTCTCTTTTGGAAGAAATACACAATCCAATCAGTTGTCACAGTCCATATTCATAAATGGCAGGTGGAATGTCAAGACATTGTAACCGGTTCTTAATTGATTAGAAGCACCTAACTGCCATTTTGTGACCATGTAATTTTCCTTCCCATGCTAGCCTTCTTCACTCCTGTCTGGTTATCTCTGCTAATCTCCTCTTTGAAAGAGATGTGTGTCAGTAACATAGGTGTTTTGTCAGGGACATTTGTTTGCTGGAAGGATGTCATTAGTATGCTTTTTCTGATTACCTTTCTGCGAGTGCAACCTGTGGCCTGGTAAAAATACGTGGTAGATTACCGTATGTAATGAGGGTGACCTTCAAGTGTGAACAATTCGGGGCCTCGTAACGTGATCACTAATATATGTTGATCTATTTCAATATTTCAGGTGGCCTGTATGTGACTGTTTAATTGCCTTCTACTCCAGTGGTTATCCCCTTGAAAAGGCAGAGGCATATGCTGCCTTAAGAAAGTAAGCTCATTATCCACTATCACCAACAATCAGCATATCTTTAAAAGTGTGAATTTGATTCCATACTTCAGCAATAAGCTGGCAGGTTATGTGAAATTCCATTTCAGTTGTGAATAATGAATTGGCAGTTTCTGGTTTTGGCCCTGCATTGCCAAACTGAGCAGTGCAGTTGGTTCCGAGAATTTTAGAATGATATCTGATTTTTACTTGGATACAGAAACTGATCTCTAGAAGTTCATGTGTAGCAAGTTTGGTGACTGACACCTAGTACTTGATGGTGTTATGGATTTAAGTAACTGTTGTGTCTGATCTTGTTCTGCTGTGAAAAGTAGTATGTGATGATTTCTGAAATGTTATGGATGATCAGGGAAGAACATTTTACTTTTTTCTGGATAAAGGATAATCTGGAATGAACCTTAGATTGGCCAGTTTTGCTTCTGCTGTACTTTTTTGTGAGTTCCCGCTGTGACTTTTCTACTCCTAAACATGACAAAACATTGCTGGTTCTGTTTCATGTTGTCTTCATTCTATCGATTTTTTCATGGAGAGTACTGACGTGTTTGACTGATCTTTATTACCAACTTGATCGCCCGTTACTTGTTCTCTCCGGGGAACTTGTTTTATCTGGTGAGTTTCTTGTTGGCAAGCACATGCTATGTCCAGTTGGTATTTAGAGTAGTGAACTGCCAATATGTAGTGCTGCCTAGCAACGTTACTTGTTTTTTACTTTGCTTATGTGGATAGATTCAAATTTTCGGTAATGGGAGTTCCCTATGTCGAACATTTAGCTACACTAGGCACTGATGTTAACTATATATCCTCAGCATCCTTTGACAACTTACCTACTTGATTGAAGTGCTGCCTGAGAATCTAAAACATCTAAATCATTGGTTTAATTTGAGCCCTAAACTTTTGGTGTTGCTCATTCACTGGCCTTATTTGTGATGATTAGGCTTTACACAGGAGTGGTTTCTGTACTTGCATTGCATTAATAATTCTCGACCTTGTGGTCTTGATTCAGGCCTTTCGTAATAAATGAATTGGAGCCGCAACACTTACTTCATGACCGAAGGAAAGTATATGAGGTAATTTCTCACCATAACGTAGATTGATATCGATTTTCTGAGTTTCTTGGCAACATTAGAAATCAATGATCTCAAAGTACTGATCTTGGCCTGTTCATAGAATTCTTTGACTTCTCAGGGCTTGTATCTTGTTTTAGGTACATCGGTATTCTGCTTTTTGGATGACATATATTCATTGACATACATCTTTCTTTCTTTCTTTTGTCATGTTTTTGGGTGACGGGTGCATCTCGATTTGTAATTGAAGCGTCTGGAAAGGTTTGGAATCCCTGTTCCCAGATATGCCTTTGTGAATAGAGGATTTCCATACCAAGAGCTTGAATACTTTGTTGAGGAAGAAGATTTTGTTGAGGTTCATGGTCAACGCTTCTGGAAGCCTTTTGTAGAAAAGCCAGTTCATGGTAGGCCTGTTTCGTTATGCAATCAATAAGTTATATAATGCTGTTACAACTTTCATAAATAATATGAAATTCTTCTTACGTTGGATCAAAAGACTAATTTTAGGATTGTGTATCCTGCTAATATTTAGTGATGATGCAATTGAACGATCATAAAAATAAGCATGCCTGCTTGAAAGTATTTATTATTTTACCTTTGTTTTAGAATATAATTCTGTATTCTGTTAGTTTGGCTAGAAAAATCTATGGACATCCTGCATTCCCTGCGAACTCAGCTTTCTTGTATATCAGCTGCATGTATACTTGGTGCTTCCGATTTCACATGTGATAACTTGAATTCATTCATCCAGGGGATGACCATAGTATCATGATATATTATCCCAGTTCTGCTGGTGGAGGCATGAAGGAACTTTTCAGGAAGGTATGCTTGTTTTTCTGCAACTCTTGTTGTATTACTTGAATAAATGCTGAAACCTGGATGTGGCATATCGCAACCTGTGACTTTGATGTGGTAGCTCAAAATAGTTGAAATTTATTGATGTTCTTAGCCAGGGTGACTCCCTATATAACCGTAGCAATAAAAAGTAAAGTAGGACAGAAAGACAGTTTGTATGTGCTCTTCTTTCCTAAATTCCCTTCACACTAATAGATAAATAAGTTGCATTGTTCAAAGACAATGCTTTAGGTCTTCAAAGTTTGCAAATGCTGGTTATTGGTTTGCGATTTAGTTTCCCCAGCGTAAGCAGGGGCTCATAAACTATTGCATCATTTGATTCGCACATAAAGCACTCAAGTAACGTTATCTGGTTTACTTTCAGGTCGGAAACCGCTCCAGTGAGTTCCACCCAGACGTAAGAAGAGTAAGGCGTGAAGGATCATACATATACGAAGAGTTTATGCCAACTGGTGGAACAGATGTCAAGGTTGTTTCCCATTTCCTTCTCCTGCAGTGTAGTGCTTATTGTATCGGTTTGAGTTTGGTATAGTTCGTCCTTCACCCCCATGTTCATCAAAACAAAGTGCAGATGATATATGATGCCTTTTTCTCTCTCTCTTAACTTCATTAACTCTAATACTTCGGGCAAGTTTTTATTGTTCCAGAAGGCCGTATTTGTTTCCAGTTCAATGTTAATTGCTTAAGGTCTAGATCCAGGGACGATCCTAATCATTCATTTATTTTGGTTAGTTCCATTAAACATTATTTATGCATTGTTTTGCACAGTCATGGTTTATTTGCGGAGTTAGTCCTGTGTCTGCGTCTAGGTGTTCATGTTCTGTTACCAAACTGCTTTCCTTTGAAGTCAATACAAAAAATTGAGTTCTTATTGCTTGTTTCGGTGTTTCCTGCTATACTTCTGTGTGTATGAACTTTTGATAATTTGCCAGGTATATACTGTTGGTCCTGAGTATGCACATGCTGAAGCGAGGAAGTCTCCAGTAGTTGATGGTGTTGTAATGAGAAATCATGATGGCAAGGAGGTAACCACTTTGTGATCTATACTTGTACCCACATGTTTATTTTGGTCTTTCCTTAACTTTTACTTGAAGTTACTTCAACGTGACTCATCCATAGAAAGTCAACATGTTAATCGCATTCTTAACTCTATCCAGTTCTCTTTATGGATGTGTAGTGACATGGAGTTTTTTTTTTCTCCACAAAAAGACATGGAGTCTTACTACTTTGCTTTTCTGGTTTACCCTTA